CCAAGCTGTTTTGATGATGTAGCTTTATAGTAAAGTTGAAGTCTGGTATGTGATACACCAGCTTTGGTTTTTTTTTTTTGCTGAGGATTGTTCTGGCTATCTTGGACGTTTGTGTTTCCATATGAATTCCTGTGTTGTTTTTTCTAGGTCTGAGAAGAATGTTGCTGGTAATTTGATGGGTATTGCATTGAATTTGTAGATTGCCTTAGGTAAGATGGACATCTTCACAATGTCGATTCTTCCAATCCATGAGCATGGGATATTTTTCCACTTGTTCATGTCAGCTTTGATTTCTCTGAGCAATGTTTTGTAATTTTCATTGTAAAGGTCTTTCACGTCTCTGGTTAGGAAGATGCCAAGGTATTTCATTTTTTTGTGTGGCTATTGTGAATGGAATTGTGTTTTTTATTTGGCTTTCTGTTTGTTTATTGTTGGTGTAGAGAAATGCGATTGTTTTTTGTACATTTATTTTGTATCCTGAGACTTTGCCAAAGGCCTTTATCAATGTAAGGAGGCTTTTGACAGATTCTCTTGGATTTTAAAGGTACACAATCATATCATCTGCAAAGAGAGATAACTTGACTTCCTCTTTTCCTAGTTGAATACCTCTGATTGCCTCCTCTTCTGATTGCTCTAGCCAGGACTTTCAATACTATGTTGAAGAGGAGGGGTGAGAGTGGGCATCCTTGTCTAGTTCCAGTTTTCAGGGGAATTCGTTCCAATTTTTGTCCATTTAGGAGTATGCTAGCTGTGGGTTTCACGTAGATGGCTTTTACTATTTTGAGGTATGTTCACCGTATGCCTAGATGTTCAAGGGTTTTTATCAAGAAGTGGTGCTGGATCTTATCAAAAGTTTTTTCTGCTTCTAATGATATGATCATGTGGTTTTTGTTTTGACATCTGTTGATGTATTTAATTACATTTATGGTTTTACGAATGTTGAACCAGCCTTGCATCCCAGGAATGAAGCCTATTTGATCATGGTGGATGATTTTTGAGATGTATTGCTGAATCCGGTTTGCTAGGATCTTGTTGAGAATTTTAGTATCGTATCTATGTTCATCAAAGATATTGGCCTGTAGTTCTCTTTCTTTGTTGGATCTTTACTTGGCTTGGGTATCAATGTGATGTTGGCTTCGTAAAATGATTTGGGGAGAGTTCCATCTTTTTCAATCACCTGGAATACCTTCAGTAGGATTGGTATCAGCTCCTCCTTAAATGTCTTCTAGAATTCTGCTAGAAAACCATCTGGACCAGGGCTTTTTTTTGTAGGAAGTTTTCTTATTACATAATCGATTTCCTTGATTGTTATTGGTCTATTTAGGGTCTCAATTTCTTCTTGTTCCAACCTAGATAGGTTGTGTGATGTCAGAAAGTCCTCCATTTCCTTAAGGTTTTCAAGTTTGTTTCCATACAAGTGTACGTAGTAGTCTCTAATGATCTTTTGTATTTCTTCAGGGTCAGATGTGATTTCATCTTTTGTGTTTCTGATTGTGCTTATTTGTTTTTTTTCTTGTTTTTTCTTGGTCAGTCTAGCGAGGGGACCATCGATCTTGTTTATCCTTTCGAAGAACAAGCTTTTTGTTTCCTTGATTTTTTGTATTATCTTTTTGTCTTCTATGTCCTGGTTTTGGGCTTTTATTTTGGTGATCTGGATTCTTCTGCTGAAATTAGGGTTTTTGTGGTCTTGCTTTTCCAGCTTCTTTAGGTGGCTTCTTAGGTTGTGAATTTCTGTTCCTTCCATTTTCTTCATGTGTGTTTGTAGGGATATAAATTCCCCTCTTACTACAGCTTTCAGGGCATCCCAGAGATTTTGGTAAGATGTTTCTTCAGTTTCATTTGTTTCCAGGTATCTTCTGATCCCTGTTTTGATTTTGTCATTGACCCAGGAGTTGTTCAGCATCATGCTGTTTAGTGTCCATGTCTTTGTGGGTTTTGGGGGGACTTTGTTGGTGTCAACTTTTATTTTTATTCCACTGTCTTCCGAGAATGTGCTTGGTCGAATTTCGGTCCTTTTAAATTTGCTTATGCTTGATTTATAGCCGAGTATGTGGTCGATCTTAGAATATGTTCCATGTGGAGATGAGTAGAATGTGTATTCTGTGGTCTTTGGATTGAGTGTTCTGTAGGTACTAATTAAGTCCATTTGGTCCAAAGTCATATTGAGGTTCTGGATCTTCTTCCTGATTTTTTGTCCTGATCTGTCTAGGGTTGTGAGTGGGGTATTAAAGTCCCCAGTTATGATAGTGTTAAGAGTCAATATCTTTCTTTAGTTTTCCAAGAAGTTGCTTTATGAAAGTTGGCGCACCTATGTTGGGTGCATATATGTTTAGAATAGATATTTCTTGTTGATGGATTGAGCCTTTTATCATTATGTAGTGGCCTTCTGTATCTTTTTTGATTTTTAATAGCTTGAAGGGTATTTTGTCTGGAATTAAGATCGCTACTCCTCCTATCTTTTGTATTCCATTCACCTGAAAGTTTGTTTCCCATCCTCTTACTTTGAGTCTGTGGGTATCCTTTCTAGTGAGGTGAGTCTCTTGAAGGCAGTAGATTGTTGTCTGATGATATTTTATCCATTTTGCTATTCTATGTCTTTTCAGTGGTGCATTTAGTCTGTTCACATTTAGGCTAATAATTGAAATGCAAGAGTTGATCCCTGTCATAAGGTTCTTACAGAGTTGTTCCTGTTTGTTTGTTGTCTTTCTTTGGATTTTGGAGTTGGTTCATGTGTGTTTTTAATCTTTTGCCTGTACTCTTGTGAAGAATCCTGTTGTTCTTTTTTCTTTTTCTTATGTGTTCAGTACTTTCTTAAGTGTTTCTTGTAGAAGTGGTCTGGTGGCAGCGTAGGTTCTTAGGGATTGGATATCTGGAAAAGATTTCAATTCTCCCTCACTAATGAAGCTTAGTTTGGCTGGGTAGGTTATTCTTGGTTGAAATTGTTTCTCTTTTAGAACTTTGAAGATAGGGCTCCAGGCTCTCCTGGCCTGAAGGGTTTCTGTGGATAAATCTACTGCTACTCTAATTGGTTTTCCCTGGTAGGTAGTCTGGCCTTTTTCTCTTGCTGCCTTTAGGATTTTTCCTTTTATAGCTACTTTGTTTAGGCGAATTATTATGTGTCTGGGAGTTGGTCTTCTCATTTGTTGTCTTGCAGGGGTTCTCTGAATCTCTTGTGTTTGGATTTTTTCATTGTTAATGAGATGAGGGAAGTTTTCTTGAATGATTTCATGAAATGTTTGTTCTAGTGTGGCTTCTGTTTCTCTCTCTGCCTCAGGAAGCCCAGTTTCTCTTAGTTTTGGTCTCTTGAAGTGATCATTCATCTCTTGCAGGTTTTGTTCTGTCTTTTTGAGCTTCTTTTCTATGCTTTTGACAGTTTGGATTAGTTCTGTGTTGTGGTCTTCGAGCTCTGAGATTCGTTCTTCGGCTTGGCTGATTCTGCTTTCCATGCTTATTAGTCTGTTGTTCATTTCCATCACAGTATTCTTTACTGCTGTCATTTCTGACATCAGCTCCTTCCTATTTTCCTCTTGTCTCTCCTCAATTTTTTTAATTCTCTCCATTAATGTCTTGATGTCTGGGTTTGTTGCATGAAACCAGTCATTTTGGGGGCTCTTCATTGTTTGTGTTCCAGAATCTGTTTTCTCAGTGTCTGATTTCCCAGGGGTCTGTGTGAGACCTATATTCTTCTTTTGGTTTTTCTTCATTTGTGCGGGTTTTCCCCCTCCCTACTTTTTCCTTCCCTCCACGTCACCGTCTTCTTTAATTCTGTTATTCAGGGGTAAAGGGATTGGTTTTGCTTCTGTTTGTTCAATCTCCTATTCTTTATGTATGCCCTCTTACTTTGTTCAATTCTGGAGTTGCACTGAAGGTTGGAGGTGATCCTTTGTGCAGTTTTGAGATTTACTTAAGGGGGGAGCTGTGATTCAAAGTCTATCTGCAGGTCCTGGTTTTCGCTGACAGGTGTGTGGATAATGTGGAGCCCACTTCCCACTGCCCTGGAATCTGTCCGTGCAGTGGGGCTGTACGTTTAGTCCCTGAAATAAAATGTGGTTAGCAGAGGGGAGAGAATGGAGCAGATAGTGGGTTGAAGAGAGGAGTGGAGAGATAGAGGAGTAAGGGGGGGAACAAACGAGTGTGCCAACAAATAGAGAGAGAGGCCTATACTGAAACAGATAAAAACAATAGACCACAGCTACAGACGAACCGACTCTCATACAAAAAATAAAAAATAAAAATAAAACATATAGTGATGCTAACATACAAGCTAACCGACCACCTTATTAGTGTGCTGTTCCTCTATACAAAGATATGGTTTATAGAGAGAAGAAAAGGAAAAGGAAAGAATAAAAAAGGGAACAATACAGTAGGAGTAGAATTAAGTAATTAAAGTAATAGAATCAATGAAGCACACTCTGAGACATTTCGTTTAAGTCCAATGTCCTTTCAGGTCTGATTTCTAGTTTTCTTTTCAAGCTGGTAAATTAGTTTGCAGTTAGGGTCAGTTGCCCCTGGTCTGCTGTGAAGGACAGTTCAGATTCCCCTCCGTTCAGCACTCTGGTATATGTCTTTATCAAGCTTGTTTCGCCCATTTCGGTGTTGTTACCTTGGATCACCAGCAGGTGGTGCTATCTCAGCTGCTCGCCCCAGAGGGGGTGGGGCCAGACAGGAACAAAATGGCTGCCTGTCTCAGGGCAGACAACAGGAGACACAGGGTGGGCGGTCAGTATTTCTAGGTCGCAGCAAAGGTGGCAGCGATCCCAGCAGATCTTCCCTGAAGTGGCTTGAAGTGGTTCGCCTCTGGCCTGGGTGGTATGATGTGCTACTGCTGTCACGCTGGCCGTGGCAGCCGCAGCGGTGGGGGGGTTGGCTGCGGCGGCGACGGTGGCACCGTTTGCGCCGCAGTGACTGTCCAGTCCATCGTGATGCCGCAGTGGTGGCAACAGCCGTGCTCCTTATGAAGAGCAGGCTGCGTTGCTGGGGTCCATAGCCCCCCGGGGGCGAGAGTCAGAGACCCACTGCAGATCTCCTTTGCAGAGGGCTTCATAGACTGCTTTGCCCCGTCGCCATCTTGCCGCTTCCCCCCAGCAGATAAAAATTTACTCAATCACTAAAAGAATTACTTTGGTGCTTTACCTTAAAATGATATGTACTTAAGCTTTGCATGATACAACCAAATGATTATATTTTAGTAATCATATAGCATTCTTCTTACCTGTATATGTGAAGATAAAGCTGGTGCAAGGTACAGCAAGAATCAGAAAGGAAAGGAAGAAATTCCTAAAATAAAATAATTGTATTTTCATTCTTTGCATACAACATGATTTTTAAATGCACATCCTCTCATAAAGGCATGCAAAATAAAATAAAATCCTGGAAGTGCCCCATTTAAAAACAAGACTCTTACAAGAGAATGAGAAGGCAGATGAGGCAAGTAAGCTTCATTGGTCTCTGTAACCAATGTCTAAACCTTTAAAACTGTGTCATAATTTTAAGGAGGCCTCCATATTTGGGAGTCATCAGATACAGTAAAAGTTACTGGTAACTAAAGAAGAGCTAAACTGCCAAAGCAGATTATCTGAACAGCAGAGAATGCTTATAGCAGCCAGTAAAAGAAACATTATTAGCAATAGATATAGGTGATTTTTTTCAAAACTACTGGCCATTTGAATTTGTTTTTGACTTTGTCTTTCAACTTTCTGTGGAACAATAAAGATCTCCAATGACTGTTTATTAATATAGTCAGAATTCTATGGCTGGCACACTGGCTACTCACATCTTGTTTAGTGTGATGCCATTTATAGCAGTTGGTTCCTGCTGCTTCTTACCCTGAGCTCCCTGCAGCTTGCAGGATGTGTATTCCAGTGGCAGAGATATATTGTGGAAAGTGCACCAAGAGTACTTCATTGGTATTTACCCATCTGATATTTGCTCAGTGTGTAGGAAGCCAAATTATCCTTAATTACATCAAAATATCAATTTTTTTCTATCAGGAGAATTTTTAAAATCTTACTTGCTATGTTTTATAATATTAAAAAAACTATTTTTTTTACTTTTTTTTTTTAAATAGAGACAAGGTCTCACTAGGTTGCCCAGACTGATTTTGAACACCTGGATTCAAGCAAACCTCTTCCCTTGACCTCCCAATTGCTGGGATTACAGGCAAGCGCCACTGCACCCATCCCTATTTCTTTTACTTTCTGAGAGACAGTCTAATGATGATGGAGAAATCATACCTGTATTTGAATCCCAATCTTACTGGTTGCTAATTATATAACCTGATCAAGTTATATGCTACCTGAACTTTAGCTTTCTATTTTGTGAAATGGAGATAATATATAAGTTATTTTAGAGGACTAAAATTAAATAAAGAAATGTATATAAAGTCTTACCTTAGTGTAGTGCAAAAGGGAATTGGCAAAGAAACGACACAATTTGAGGGTTTTCTGAAATAATCTGTAGTCAGCATTATCCTGGCCCAAAAAAGGAAATGAGAAAGTAAGATAAATAAGAAAAGAACATGAAATTAGCTAATATAAGCTAATGAGATGATATTTTTTAAGAAGACCTCTTAAACCCCAGAATATAAAATTTATCCAAGAAAAAAATAATTCTTCTCTGAATTGTTGTTAGGAGCAATACAAATAACAAATGGAGACAGAAGCATTTCATATAATTAAATTACTGAAAAGAAAAATCTTAACCTGTCATAGCAAAAGAAGTGATCCTTCTTGGTTGATCTGAAAGTAAGAAATACTTTATTGTTTTTTGTTCCAGGGGGATCAATTAAACAGAGGTCAAGAGAGAAAGATCTGACAAATTAATAAAAGAACAATGTATAAAACAGGTAAAAGACATAAAAAGGCAGTTCACAAAAAAGAAGAAAACAACTGTCAATAAACTAATACTGAAAAAATCCAAATTACAACCTAATTGTGTATCTTTTGGGAGGGGAAAGAATTGAGGGCTACTTCATTGGCAAAAATTAAGACTAATAATGTCCCCGAGCAGGTAAGGAAATAGAGTAACAAGTAAGTTATTTTACCATTGGTAGAAGCATACAAGAATACAGTCTTTACATTATTATTAAAAGTTAATGTGTACAACTCCTTGATCAAATTCCATTTCTGGAAATACACCCTTAGAAATATTAGCATAGGAATGCAATACAACATGTTTTGTATAATGAAGACTGAATGAAGCAAGTGTTCCTCAAGTAGAGAACAGTTAAAAACAGTTGACCCTTGAGCAATGAGGAGGTTAAGGGTACCGAACCCTGTGTAGTAAAAAATTCAAAACTTAACTACTAATAGCATACCGCAGACCTTACAGATAACATAAACAGTTGCCTAACATATTTTGTATGTTTTGTGTATTATAAACTGTATTCTTACAATAAACTAGAGAAATAAAACTTTATTATGAAAATCATAAAAGAAAATACATCTACAGTACTGTTTACATTGTCTGCTTATAAGATGAATCATCTGTCTGAAATAGCGACAACTGCAGCTGTAGACCTTACTCTACAATATGTATCAAACCATTCAAATTTTCTTGTACAGTCATGACTTTTCTCTGCTTCTTAGGAGCACTTCCAGCATCACTAGTAGCAAATCATGTGGGTCGCACAGTGTTATTCAAGGTTTACGGTATTGCACTAAGTATGATGAAAAATATGAAGGAACATCAAGAGATCACTTTTTATTACAATAAGCAATTTACTGGAGGGACAAACTGCTCAAGCAGAGATAATTAACATCCCACACATTGCTGGGAGATGTTGCAACAGCTCTGTAACATCTCCCAGCAATAACAACTGGAGATGACTACAAAATTATCACAGTAGCATTGTATGTTTTAGTTAATTTTATGCAGTTGTGATTTAATTCTGCATCTTTATGCTTGCTTACATTTCCCTCTCAACTGCGATTGGTACCATGAATGGTCCATGTCTATGTGCTAAATTTTGATATAATTTTAATTTTTCATAATAGATTTGTGTTTATTTTATGGCAGTAAATGATGAAATTGACTAGTATCTACATATATTCCATTCATTCATGACATATCTAACTTTTTCTAAATGTTTTCTATATTTCTAGGCCATACTACTCTTCTGCAAGTTTTTTCAAATTGTCACATATCTCCAAAATATTTTCCATTATACTTACTGAAAAACATCTACTTATAAGTAGACTTCTGCAATTCAAAACTGTTATTCAAGGATCAACTATAAATTTACAGTATACAGTATATTCATAAACTGTAATATCACATAGCTATTTAAAAAATCAGGTAGATACACTTTCCTGGACACAGAAAGCCCTAAGATAAACTTAAGTAAAAAAAAAAAAAAAATCAGGTTTCAAACAACATGTATATAATGTGAAAACTGATCATACAAATTGGGTTATTCTTGTCATACTCAACTAAAACAGAATCAAGAGACCAGGGGCGAAAGCACTCACAGCACATAACATTGTTCCAAAATGTAATTCTCTGCTAGCTTGGCTGCTGAAATTGCCTGCTGTAACCCTCACCAGTTTTATCTTAGGACTGCTGAAACAACCTGCTATATCTCTACAACTAGTTTTACCCGCTGTGGTCACTCACCAATCAGAGCTTGCCAGCTTTCCAAAACCTTACTAGTGTCAATGAACTTGGTTGAAGAGCAATACATAGCATTTCTCCTTCTTATAAAACCTGTAACCTTCTCTTTGTTCTTTGGACATAGTGAAGATTAGTCAGTCTGCATATATGCCCTGAATTGCAATTTTCTTCTCAAATAAAATATTTTAACTTCAGAGATTTGTCTCTGTGTTTTATTTGACTCTGATGATAACATAATCACCCAGGCTGTAGTACAGTGGCACAATCATGGCTTAGCACAGCCTCAAACTCTTAGGCTCAAGCAATCCTCCTGCCTCAGTCTCCCAAATTGCTAGGAGTACAGGCTTGGGTCATTGTGCCAGCCTATTTTTAAATGTGTTATATGTTAATATTTGCTATCACAAACATGAGCCACCACGCCGAGCTAATTTGTTGATGTTTTGTAGAGATGAGGTCTCACTATGTTGCCTGGCCCCATTTTGAACTCCTGGGCTCAAACAATACTCCTGCCTACGCCTCCCAAAGTGCTAGGATTACAGGCTTGAGACACTGTGCTCAATCTATTTTTAAATGTTTTATATTAATATTTGCTCCATACCCCACCCCCAAAATAAATCAAAACCTTTCCTGTGGCTCCCTCTGGTACATAAAAGTTGGATTTCACTTTCCATGTTTGTGTAATGTATGAGAGTTTTCCGATTAGGTATTACATTTGTATGCTGATAAAACAGTGGACATGCCAATAGCCATGCGTATACAGGTAGGGCTGTGGAGTCACTCTGCTGGATTTGAGCCCTGGCCCTAGCATAACTACTGTGTGATCTTGGGAAAATTACTTAATCTCTCTGTAGCCCAGTTTCCTATCTACAGCAGGGAGAATACTAGGATTATTAAGATATTTAAACAGTGTCTGACACTTAAGCAAACTTAGCTCCATAAATACTGGTTGTTCTACCACCCAAATTTATAGTATACACTATAAACCAAGGAGCTTTAAATAGTGCCATAAAATTAAGCCAAATTGATAAGTTGTCTTTAATTTTGAGGATTACTTAATAATGAAAATAACGCATCTTAACTTTAATGTTAATTTTGTTTGATTTCTTTTCCAATGTAGCAAAACCTTAATTCAATCCAATCAAAACAGAATTGGATGGTCTACTAATTGAATATGACCTTTCATTGAGACTTTTATTAAAAATATTTGAAAAATAGCCGGGCGTGGTAGTGCGCGCCTGTAGTTCCAGCTACTTGGAAGGCTGAGGCAGAAGGATCGCCTGAGCCAAGCAGGTCGAGGCTGTGGTGGCTGGGGGCGGCCACTGCACTCCAGTCTGGGCAACAGAGTGAGACTCTAACTCAAAAAAAAAATTTGAAAATAGTCAATTTTCCTCAGCATATATAGGGTAGATGAAACTTTTCTTTGATAACTATGAAAATGAACCCTTATATAGTACCATGCATATGTAAAAGCAGAGATTAAAGATGAATCTACACTGAACTTACAATAAATTTTATTCAGCATAAATGTCATATCACCATAAGAAGCCTTTCCTGACTTTAAGATTGGGTACCCAACCCTCCAAAGATCACACTGTTCTATAATTAAATGATTATCTGTCTCCCAAGCTAGACTCTAAGTTGCTGAGGGCAGAGAATGTCACTAACTTAGCACTGAGTACATTTCCTGGCAAAGAATCAACACTCTGGAAATGCCTATTATATGAATTAATGAATGGTGACACATAACATCAGTTTGCTTACATTAAATTTTTCTCTCATTCAAGGGGAAATTATTCAAGATTTGGTGGAGGGCTCTAGTTTTACTTCATTACTAAGTAGCACACCATTACTTAAAACTAGAGCTTTTATTTTGACATCTTCAAAAAGCAAGTGAGTAACACAGACACACTAACAGTCACATTTCATTCAACTGTTGTGTATCCCAACACCAGCAAAGAAGGAGTAGGTAATATAAGCGAGAAAGACTATTTTTACATGTTTAAAAGCACTCTTTCTTTCTCTCTTCCTCCCCGCCACCCCATCTCTCTCTCTCTGTATCTCTCTCTCTCTCTGTAGCCAGAACTACAGGGGCAAGCTACCATGCCTGGCTAATTTATTTATTTATTTACTGTAGAGACGAGGTCTTGCCAAGTTGCCTGGGCTGGTCTCAAACCTGCAGGCTCAGGCAACCCACTTGTCTTGACCTCTCAAAGTACTGGGATTACAGGCTGAGCCACCGAGCCCAGCCTCTTGCTTACTTTAAATAAAATAAAAGCTTGGCACGGTGGCTCACATTTGTGATCCCAGTACTTTGGGAAATGGAGGCAAGAGGATTGCCTGAGCCCAGAGGTTCAAGACCAGTCTGGGCAGCTTGGTAAGACCTTGTCTCTACAATAAAAAAAAAAAAATAGCTGGGGATGGTGGCACACACCTATGGTTCCAGTTACTTGGAAGGCTGAAGCAGAAGGATAGCCTGAGTCCACAGGTCGAGGCTGTGGCAGCCATGAAGATGCCACTACACTCCAGCCTGGGCAACAGAGTGAGACTCCAACTCAAAACAAAAATTAATTTAAATACCGATAAAATCTAAATGTAACAGGCAGTAAATCTAAATGTTGCGATGAATATAACAGTATATCTTTATTTTCTGAATAATACAAATTTCTAAAAGCATTATGTAAACAAAAGTAGAAATCACAGTGGAAATTAAATTATATCTAATATAAATTATATCTAATACAAATCAATGTTTTCCTATATTTATAAAAAAACTAAATAGTGGCTATAAAACTATATGGTTAAAAAACTGTATGTTAAATATTTCCTTCTTGAAACCAATTTCAAGACTTAATAGAGACTATTTTATCAATTTTCAGGGTTGTAAAGGGTCTGAACCGTGTCCCTCCTCCCCCCCAAAAAATCTGTTGAAGTCCTAACCCCCAATACTTCAGAATGTGACATTATTTGAAAATAGGGCGATTATAGACATAATTAATTAAGCTAAGGTCATCGTAGAGTAAGGTGTGCCCTTACCCAATGTGACTGGTATTCTTATAACAAGATGATGTGAAGACACAGGGAGAGAACACCATGTGGAGTTATAAAGTTGCAAGCCAAGGAATGCCAAGGACTGACAGCCACACCAGAAGTGAAGGGAATCATGTAAAACAGATTCTCCCCTAGAGCCTTGAAGACATGGCCTTATCGACACGTTGTGAATTGCTGTCTCTAGAAATGGGAGAGAATACATTTTTGTTGTTTTAAACCACCCGTTCATGGTAATTTGTTATGGCATCCCCAGGAAACTAATACAAGGAATGATACATCCATATGCTTCCATAAATAGTATGCTTTTAATTAAATATAATGGTTTTATTCTGACATTTTTAAGCAAAATGTTATAGTTTGAATGTTGATATTCCTCAAAATCCAAAGGTTGGAACCTAATACCCAATGTGACTAGTATTAAGAGGTGGGGCTTTTTGAGAAGTGGAATTAGTGCCCTCAGAGCTGTCTTGTCTGTTTTACAAGTGAGGATGCAGCAAAAAGGCAACATCTTTGAAGCAGACAACAAGCCCTCACCAGACACGGAATCTCTGATACCTTGATCTTGGACCTCTCAGCCTCCAGAACTGTGAAAAATAAGCTTTTATTACTCATAAATTAACCAGTTTAAAAAATTTGGTTGTAGAAGCCTGAATGGAACAAACACAAAGTGAAAACTGCTTGGAAAACTTTAATATCGTAGTTTGATTCCTATATATTAATAATGAACAGTAGAGGGCACTGCTGTTCAGAATTCAGAATTAAGAAAGGACAAATTATACAGTTCATCTCAAAGCTCCATTTTGGGCAATGGACAGTAAGCAGAACTGGTCACTTTTATCAGTCCCAAATTTGTACAAATGAGTAGAAATATAATTTTCCTGGACAGTTAGGAGATTTTACAATTTAAATTCTCTGATTTTCATACCCTAGCAGTTTCTATAAGCTGAACTAATATACTTTATGTACAAATAGCTAGCCACCCTGGTTAGGCATCCCCTAACTTTCCTTTCTCCTGCCACTGTAGACTATACTGTTGATTAGGCTTTCCTTGTCTTACTCCTGTCTAGGAATGTCTTCTAATTTTACTCTCCCAGTACTAAATTGAAAAAGGAGGAGAATAGGGTTGAAAATACAGATCTGTAGGATGAAAGTAAAGAAGAAAATACGCTTCCTGCCATTGACACAGGACATCCAACCAAACTTCTTTTAGCAAGGTGAGAGGACTCAGAAACGGTGTATAAATGAAGGGGAGAGAAAAAAGAAAATGGAAAAAAGAAGAAGGGATATAAAGAGAGAGTAGAGAAGATAGAGAAGCAAGAAAAAGAAATATTTAAAATATTAAAACTTTAAAAAAATCTTGCTGAACCGTACAAGGGGAGCTATTTAAAATATGCTTAAAAAATAAATAAAAGAGAAGCAAGAAAAAGGTTAGCCCCTTTCTAAAGCTACTCCTCACTTCCTTCTTACAAACTTCAGAAGTCCTTTTCAAAGTGCTACCCACCTCTAGGGTCTGTCCTTCCAGCTCATTCCTGATCCAGGAATTGCTATCAGTTTTAGGACTTGGACGAATCCCTACACCTTCACTCCAACAGCTACTTGGTAGGGAACAGAAGTTAGAAAGAAATTTCCTGTATCAGCCTGTAGATCTATAATAGAAGCTATGTTATCTCTACTCTAGGAAGAAATATTCATTTTCCCATTAACTATCACATATAACTGTTAAGTCCTAAATACTATTAATACTATGATTCAAGGCTATTATGAGTTCAATAATATTCGAGGCCTAGTCTAAGAACAAAAGTTACCATGTATAACATTGTTGTAGGAAAATGAGTTATAACTCTCCAAAGTCATATTACAAATTTTTAGAATACTATCTGTTTCATAAGTGTGATGCCAACTCAACACGACAACTTTTTGAAATCAAAATAAACATAGCCAAGCTCAGTAGCTCACACCTGTGATCCCAAAACTTTGGGAGGCCAAGATGGGAGGACTGCTTGAGGCTAGGAGTTTGAGACCAACCTGGGCAACATAGCAAGACCCTATCTCTACAAAAAAAATAAAAAGTAAAAAATAGCTAGGCATGGTGGTGTGCACCTGTAGTCCTCAGCTACACAGGAGGCTGAGGCAAAAGGATTACTCGGGTACAGGAAATTGAGGCTGCAGTAGCTACGACTGTGCCACTGCACTCTAGCCTTGGCAACAGAAAGGGAATGCAACCTCCAAAAACATAAATAAAAATTTTAAATGAATAATAAACACAAGCATATACCAACTTCAAAAGACTGACACATGCACATATATACATAAGCACAGTACCCATAAAGGTTTCAATGCATTGGTAAAGACAGAAAAGCTAACTGTGGCCATATCAAGAACACCTTAATATGGGACAAAGGAATTAGATTTTTATTTTAGAGCAGAAAATAATAAAATAATTCCTTGATCAAGCAGTTAGAATGTAAAGAAGGGGACAGGTAGACTCTAGAGGTAATAAGAACAGTGAAGAGCTTAATGCAATGATCTAAGTGAAAAGTAATTGTGGGCAAGTAAATAATACCACATATCCCAAACTACCCAAAATGAAATAAATTAAAATTCCCTTAAATAGACTGAGACATTTAAGTGAGATTTAGCAACTGCCAAAAAAAAAAAAAATAAAGGTTGCTGTTTAAAGTGCTATTAGGCCATATTACCTGTGCATCTGACTGTGTCATCTGCCCAGCTAACTGTAAACAAGATTGGAAGGAGAAAAGAATGTCTTCACACAAGCTAGTAATTATATCTTTGTGTTTCAAATGGCTCTTTATAACAGACTGGTGCTTAAGGCTTTGCCTAAATAAACAAAAAGAAAAGAATACAATCACCACAAAACACACCAAGTAATTAGGGCCACAAAAATATCTGCCCTATAGAACATTTCAAAAAAATCACAATGCATCATATATATTAGGCATGGTATAGCCAAGATGTGCCAACTTTACCTCTGAAGCAGGTATATTTGTTTAAATACGTTGCTAATTTTTTATTTCTCTGTGTAAAATATTAATGGCATTCTTACTGTGTTACTGGGGATAAAAAGGTCAATCAAACAGACATAATCTCTGCCCTATCTGCGTAGAATTTATGGTCTAGCATGAGATAGAGTACTATATATTTGTAAGAACTGATTAACTATGGCTGTGATAAATGCTAAGATGAAAACGTCTAAGGTGCTACAATACAGAAACTTAATTTCACTTATAACATTTATAACTGAGAGCTGAAAGATAAGCAGGAGTTAGCAAAGTGCAAAATAAGGGAGGAAAGCATCCTAGGCAAAGGGAAAAGCCATGAAAAAAAGGCTCTGGGACAGGAGAGTCTGGTATGTTTGTGGAACCAAGAGCAGGGCAAGAACAACGTAAGATAGGACAGTGAAGGATGCAGAGACCAAAGAGGATTAGCTTGCTACTCTTAGTTAAATGGAATAGATTTTAAGCAGTAGAGTGGCATGATCAGATTTACTTTTTTAAAAGAGCACTTTAAATGCTGGTTAGAAAGTGAATTGGAAGGGGGCAAGAGTGGAAAATATTCAATGATGACAATAATGATGTGGCTAACTCATTGAGCACTCACTATGTGTCATGCACAGTCCTAAGCACTTCACAGTGATTAACTTAATTCTCACTATAACCTTATCAAGAAGGTGCTATTGTTATTATTATTTCCATTTTCAGACAAGCAAACTAAAGTTAAGAGAATTAACCAAATTGCCCAAGGGCTCAGGAGTAAATGATTTCAGAAGTGATCTGAGCACATGCAGTGTGACTCCAAGATGACTCTTAACCACTAAACTACTTGTTGGCAACTTAATGTCCTGGTGGTGCAACAAAAGCACCTAAGTGTTACACTGACCTTTAAAGTAGAGGCTCTAAACCATCTCTACATCTCAATAGTATTTCCTACTCCCACTAAGAAGCTGGTGAATGCTATGGATATTCTCCCTAGTGATCCTTCATAATGTTCCAGATTTCAGAAAGTTAAAATTATAAATGGAATTAAGTTTGAACAACTTAAAAGTACATAATGAAAGAACCACATTCAGCTCTAATTAGTTACCAATTTATCTAAGCCTAAAAATAGAATACTTGATAGTCGGTTAAACAGTAGCAGCACCAAGCTAGTGTTTAAGTCTAGTACGACCCATGGCCCATTGTTTCAGAAGTACCAGCTAACTATGTGGAACTTAAACATTTTTTTTTAGAGACAGCAAGGTAAAATAGTTCAATTTGGTTTGGGAGCTACATGTAGAACATCTGAATTATCAGACAACAGTGTCAGTGAACATTACACATATTCACAAAGAAAATTCATCTATAATTAAGACTGGGGAATATGGAAAACATAAAAAGTAAAACTAACAAACATACTTACTTAATTATAAACTTCCAAGTATTGGCATGAAAAGCATGGTCCATACTGGAAATAACAGAGCAGATATCCAATAATGAATGAATAACTACAAAGAAAGATAACAGAACTTTTAGGATATTCAAATGTCATGGAGTGAATTTCTCATACATTTGAAAGTATCTGCTAAACAATTTCAACATTGGATTGAATTAAAATCGTTAATGAGGCTTGAAAATAATTGTGTCAAACTAACTACAGAAACTAAATGTCACACGCCTGATGCTGGGAGCGATGGTTCACACCTGTAATTCCAGTCTTTTGGGAGGCTGAGGCGAGAGTATTGCCTGAGTCCAGGGGTTCAAGACCAGTCTGGGCAACTTGGTAAGCCCTCGTCTCTACAATAAATCTAAACAAAATTGCTGGGCATGGTGGTGCGTGCCTGGTTCCAGCCACTTGGGAGGTTGAAGGCTGAGGTGGAAGGATCACCCAAGCCCAGCAGGTCGAGGCTGTGGTGGCCCTGAGCGTGACACTGCACTCGAGCCTGGGTAACAGAGTGAGACTCCAACTCAAAAATAAATAAATAGTTTACAACCACCCTATGACTTACGTAAAACTAAAAATGTTCAGTAGAATAAAAATTGTACTCTATTATAATTAAAATATTCTACAAATATAATTCTAATCCAAAATGACAAAATAAACTGTTAGAAAACCTAACCAGGAAGAATTAAAACTAATTTACACAGTACTCATGCCAGACTTTTACTTTTCCTGTGGTAGATTATTTGTAAAAATAGTCATACAAACTGCCACTTCTGAATCCATATTTTTCCACATTGACTCTAGGCTTGGCCCTATGATTTACTTAGGGACCAAAGGGACAACAATAAAATTGAAACAAGCAGAGCTGAAAAGCTCTTGCTTATGGGGACTTGCCCTCTCTTGCTGCTCTTGAAAATTCTGAGACCATCCAGTGTCTGAGCCAGTGTTAGTGTGCTGGATGATATGTGTGGCCTTCTCAGTACTTCTGACTCTGCCAACAGCCAGACATGAGTGAAGGCACTGATTGCAAACACCTGAGTAAGTCAGTTGCACGATGTGGAGCAGAGAAAGTCCCCAGCTGATCCCACCCTAAACTGCAGATTCACAGACTCATGAATAAATAAAACAGTGGTTGTTTAATAAGCTACCAGATTTTAGAGTGATCTTTTATAGAGCAATAGTTGCCTGATAAACTGCACAAAACCAACTTATTCTCTTTATGCCAAAGTTCTGTGAAAAGAGAAGTTCTATGAATGCAAACTACGGCCTTATACATTAGAGTATTGTTTCTCAAACTCTGGGTCATAATCCACTAATGAGTGATAAAATCAATTAAGTGGTTTACATTCAGCAATTCTCCCCCCCACCCCTTTTTTTTTGTAGAGACAGGTTCTCACTATGTTGCTCAGGCTGGTCTTGAACTCCAGACCTCAAGCAATCCTCCCATCTTGGCATCCCAAAGTGCTGGCATGAGCCACCACAGCTGACCAGCAAGTCTTTAAAAATGAAACAATACAGAATACATCACATGTAAAATGAGCACGATTTCATTATAATAAATATGTCCATGGGTATATACATACATATTTACAAACATGTAAATATATATATGTGTATATACATATATGTATTTGTGTTCTGGGAAGGAATGTAAACTGTATTTCAATATAGGTTAATATAGATTTAAAAGATATGTTATGTCAGCATATATTATGATATATATAAAATTTTATATTAACTCTTATTATATTAAATTAAACTATATTATATTAAAATGTATATTAACATATACATTAAATCTACCATAGATAGATTCAATATTAATATATATTAATATAAAAAATTTTTTTAACCAAAAATCTGGAAGTTACTGCCTGAGAATATGGACAACTTTAGAAAATACAAAGTTGCATATATTTCTTTGTTAATCATTGTAAGGGGATTACCTACTAGGAATATTACCTGAATATGCAAATCTAGGCTAAGGCATTAAAAATTAATGTTATAGGCCAGGCTTGGTGGCTCAGACTGTAATCCCAGCGCTTTGGGAGGCCCAGGTGAGTGGGTTGCCTGAGCCTGCGGGTTTGAGTCCTGCCTGGGCAACTTGGCGAGACCTCATATCTACAATAAATCAAAAATTAGCCGGGCGTGGTAGCATGTGCCTGTAGTTCCAGCTCCTTGGAAGGGTGAGGCAGAAGGATCGCCAGAGCCCAGCAGGTCAAGGCTGCAGTGGCTGGGAGCGGCCACTGCACTCCAGTCTGGGTGACAGAGTAAGATTCCAACTCAAAAAAAAAAAGAATGTTATAGATACCAACATTTTAAAAATAAAAATTTATCTGATAAAATTTAAATTATTTTTTAGCCATGAGTAAGAAGATGACGTGAATCATTAGAAACAATTTTAATTGACACATGTCTTATAGTCATCCATATATACTATTTGCTAAGCATAAAGTTTTCTTCACTCACCTATGACCATATTCAAAATATCATCATTCACATCTACTAAAGGGCCCATGCAAACCATGTCCAGAAGTTCCATTAGCTGCTTTTGAAGAGAATAGGCCTCCTTAAAAAGAGCCTGGAGAAGGTCTGAAACTAGGTGTAAACGTCCAGAATATACAGATTCACTGTTCTGATCACAATAAAAATGAGAGGAAAAAAAACAAATCTTAAAAGCTCAAGAGCCAAGTTTACTTTAACTCATACTATTAGAGATCATACATTTATTGAACCACATATTCATTCACTAAACAAATGTTTAGTTAACATCCATTGAATATAGTATACTTTGAGTGATAAAGCAAATGATTTCGGACTTCCATGATCTTGCAAATACAGAACTGAAAGAGACATAACATTAGGTTTTAGCACTCTATCACCTATGACCTTTACTCACCTCACAGTGTACAAATACAGAGAGGTATTAACTAGTGATTTTCATTCACCCAAACAAGAGTATTAAAACTGCCTGTACCCCACAAATTCTAGGCCAACTTTTGTATCTTAAAGCTGCCTCTGGAATGTAGAAATGGACTGATTAAGAATTAACTTCCCTTTACAAAGGGAAGTTCAGGCACCTAATCACTAAGGTAAGTGAACATTGATCCACCAATGCCATATGACATAACTGTTTCTGGATCCCTGTGTCTCAGCACAAGTCCTTACCATTCCTTTCTTTATAGAGGGGAGATAGGATAAAAGGAAAAAAACCTCAAAAGGCCACTTTTTATGACTTCCTTAGAACCAGTTACTTAAAAACATTTACATACATGCTCTGTGTTCTATGGAAAAGTCTATTCCAATAATATAAGGCAAAAACATACAATTTGTACAAACACTATTTTACTCAGCTCCTTTACCCACTAACTCTAGATCATTTAAAGTGTACTTAGACCTTTACTCACCTTACAATGTACAAATGTACTTTTGATTATATGAAGGACTGAGGAAGGAAGACTATGGATATTTTCTAGAATGATGGATTCCTGTGTGCTACAGATATGCTGAACACACCTTGTAAGAGTGCCTAAGAGCTGCACCATTGTCTAGAAAAAAGGAAAGTTTCATTCAGAATATATTCTATGTGCACTGAAAAGGTATCAGACAGTATGCTGGGTGCTAGGAATACCACAGTGAACAAAACAGACACCCTCTTCCTCTTTTCACAGAAGCTCAGTCTAAAAGAACTACAAATATTAGAAAACTGTCTAGCCATTTGGAATCCTAACCCAAACTTCAAAGCACATAGCAGGTGTCATACACATATGCCGTGAAATTACAGGTAGAGCATGCTATCTTGATGACTTGTCTTCTTACAAGCGCTTAGGTATTTACTCAGCATGAAATTTTATTTAAAAATCAGAATTTATATTTCTGTATTCATATCTTTAATTCTATAAATGTAATTCCAACATTAGGGCATTAAAGAAAGAAAAATTTCACTCTTTAAGCTCCCTCTTTCTAATACATCTGACTTACTTGTAAAATATTCCTTAGAGTGGTCTGAATTTCCAAATTTTGGCTTGACAGTCCTCTGGCTTCATTGATTAATTCATCCATCATGTCATCAAACAATTTCACAGTCTGAAAAACAAATCAGATTACAAATAAGAATAACAGAAATCACTAGAAAAGAAAAAACAAAACAAAAGAGAAAAAACACAATAGGAGGATTTGATTTTGCATTAGTAATGCCCAACGGGTACTTTCTAGCTTAACAATGGCCTCTAATTAAGTAAAAAATATAAATAAAAAGTATTTCTACAATACACCTCTCCTCTAATAACCTCAGACATGAATTGATTTTCTACTTCTGTGAATTTAAAAATATCACTCAAAGCTCATCTTTTGGGGGTACAACAAATACAAGTACTACTCTTTGTACAATAAAAGATGACTGTCTTGACCAATAAGACTCACATGGGCACTTACAAGGGCATTTTCTGGTAGTAGTAATGAATTTATACAGAATCATCTATTTACTCACTATTCACTTATATTTTAACCAGTTCCCCTTCCTGACCCACTTCCAAATAGTCTTCCTGGATTAGAAGTACATATGTGACCTCACAACCCAGCTTTTTGTATATGACATTCTAGCCCTCCTAAGATCTTACCACTCAGATCTTTCTAAATTTAAATAGCCTAAACATTACAAAAATAACATGGTCAACAAGACAATGTAGTTCAATTAGACATTGTTTCCCATAACCCTGTTAGCACTCAACATCCTGCTTTCACCTGTATAATAGTTGGATTTTTTTCTGGTGGTTGAGAACAAATTCTAAGAAACTTTTTAGATAGAGAATAATCAAGTGTTTATGAGTAAAAGACATTTTGATAATTATGTTTAAAAGTTAAACTTAGAAATCCATTCCAAGCCAGGCGCAGTGGCTCATGCCTGTGATATCAGACGTTTGGGAACTGCCTGAGCCCACAGGTTTGAGACCAAACTGGGCAGCCTGGTGAGACATTATCTCTACAATAAATCAAAAACATTAGCTGGGCGTGGTGGCGCACACCTATGGTTCCAGCTACTTGGAAGCTGAAGGATCACTTGGGCACAGCAGGTCAAGGCTATGGTAGCTGTGAGTGTACCACTGCACTCCAGCCTGGGCAACAGAGTAAGACTCCAACTCAAAAAAAAAAAAAGAAAAGAAATCCATTGCAATAAGAGATAAGTGATCACAAATCTGTTTCATTTTGGCATCAAAGTAACTTTAGGTCCCTCCTTTAAAAAATATATATATAGTATGACTGTGCTTTTCAGAGAAAAAGCATACCATATATATCTAAAAAGTAATAGTCTATAAATTTAACATTTTCTCCAAGTTACTTAATTTTACCAATAATTCTGCTTTTTTTGTTCTAAGACTTTTTAAATAAATTTTGACTCCATTTCCCAGACACCAAAATCTGATAATTATTAATAGACACTACAGGAAAGATAAAAAAACAAAGGGATTTAGCTAATTTCATCACCTATCTCAAATTTCCATATAATAGCTTTAAGTGAGTATTTAAGTTCTATTAGTAAAGGACTCAAACAATCTGAAAATGTAAAGTTTTTAATTACCTAATGATTATACTAACACCATCATTTTCTCATGTAACATCTATTTTTTACTACATAATTTAATTTCAAATATGCTTGATAGAGTAGAAAAACAGAGCCACTATTAAGAATAAATTAAGACTGAGGCTATATTTTTAACAAGTTTTATAACATGTAGATTAAGATAATAGCACAATACCTTTGGTAACACTTGTGAAAAGAAAGTCTGTTCCAATGTCAGTTGATTCATATGAGGTAAAAACATTTCTGTGATAATTTTCAAAATTTCTATACAGCAAAATAGTAACATTTTGTAAAAATATTAAGTCATGTCAATCAACAAGTCATTTCCCTTTAACAAATCCAAGAATATTCCCAATCTAAAACTTTGTACAGTTTCAAAATTCCATATCCTACATATTAAGTACCTAATAGCAAAGAAAATAAAGAAACAACATAAATATCCAACAATTGAGGACCAGTTAAATGGATGTGGGTACATCTGTTGAATAGGATCTGCCATCATGAAAATGACATGAAAGCATGAAAAAATGTTCACAATACTTTAAGGTTAAAAAAAGTTTCCAAAATAGTATAATATATATAAATATGGACATACAAAGGATGATTGATAGGCTGACAGGAATGTATAGAAATCAAACTGTTCTTAATAATTTCAGATTAATGGATACTTTAAAATAAAAATTAAAACCTTTTTTTTGTTTTCTTGCATTTTTCAAATTTTCTACAATGGGCCGGGCATGATGGCTCACACATGTAACCCTGTACTTTGGGAAGCTAAGCAGGAGTATTGCTTGAGGTCAGCAGTTCGAGACCAGCCTGGCAAGAGAGGGAGATCCTGATTCTACAAAAAAATAGAAAAATTAGCTGGGTGTGGTGGTGTGTGCCTATAGTCCCAGCTACCTGGGAGGCTGAGGCAAGAAGATTGCTTGAGCCCAGGAGGTCAAGGCTGGGCTGCAGTGAGCCAGGATCATGTTACTGCAATACAGCCTGGGTGACAGAGTGAGGGCCTAGCTCAAAAAAAAAAAAAAAAAAAATTCTACGTGAACAACTTTTATACTCAGGATAAAAAAATAATTTGTCATTTAAAAAAACAGATTGCAACATGCAACATAGATTCAAAACTATAAGCAAATATATTCAAAACTATAAGCAAATATTCCACAACCAAGTAAAATGTAAACAGAATAAGCTAATTCAAAAAATGAACAAACTGAGCAGCTTAGTCTTAACTCTATCTCTTCTCCTGACTAAAAGAATAAATCTTGTCAGGTAAAATTGGTAAGACTGATGAAGACAGATGAAGATGAGAAAGTCAACTTTCTCCAAATGACAAATTTGCTGTCACCTTCTCAATCAACTTTTGACAGCTTAGAAAGTTATTTTCTAATTGACTTTAAACATGTTAGAGGCTGATGGTTATTAAGCAGACTGGAAATCATGTTTTATATAGGCCTAATCATAATTTAACTAACATTTAAAATATACAATGTGTTTATGTACACATCAACAGAACACTCATGATACCTACACAAAATGAAATTTAAAACTTTAAGCACTGTAATTTGAAGAAATTTGATCATTTTAAGTAACTAGAAGTTATACAGCTATCATATGGAAAATGATTAAATATGAAGGGAATACAAAACCGTAAGGTCTTATCCAATGAGGTATCTAGGACTCAGACCTTAATGACATCAAAGTAAATCATACAACTAAAATAATTTTACTTACGAATATGCTCAATCCAACTGTCAGAGTGTCGATACAAAGAGTACAATAATTAAGGAAGATACTAGTATAGTAATAGGATATTTCTTACTGAGAATACATTAATAATGGAGCCTTCTTGAAATTTAAGCAATGATCCATAAATTAGACTTAAATTACTGGCCTAATTCTGCCTTTAAAAACTTAACATCTATTAAGTAAACAAATAACATTGTGAAAACATTTTAAGAAAATATTTTCAAAATTGCCCAAGGATAAACTTTAACCACTGTAAATTGAAGAAATTTGATTATTTTAAGTAACTCAAGGCTATAGAGGTTATAACACAGAAAGTGATTAAATATGAAGGGAGCACAAAACCATAAGGTAATATTGAGATATGTGGGACTCAGACCTTCATGACATCAAAGTAAATCAAATAATTAAAACAATTTTCAAATCTTGTGTAGTCATAAAATATTTCTGACATGAGAAACTGTAATAACCCATGGACTTCTCATTTCTACTCCTGGAAAGAAATTTCTCTCTCCTCAGCATTTCTATAGTACTTGATTGGCCTTGTCTTAAGCCACTCATCATCTCCTATCTTATTTCGATGTTGCTTGCATACACATCTTACCAACCTTATCACACTGTAATGCTTCTGTACATAGCAGAAGCTTGCAAATGAGTGGCAACAAATTATCCTACTTAAACACCATTGAGAATTGTTAGAAATGTTTTATTGTAAAAGCAATGTAAGAATCACAAATGAAAAAAAAAGCATAATCCTAATACAAGGATTCCTCTTTTGAAATCTTATTTTGCACATTTTTTTGCAGCAGCAGCAATCAAAATGAGGTATAAGCCACGCATGAGTTCATTTCAGTGAAGCTCAAAAAAATTCTAGCCATTCCAAAATTAGCAACAAATTATGATTATGTAGATAAAAATTAGAAAATAACATATAAAATGCAAAGCATAAAAATAATTTTGTTTGGGTGATGGCATTGTGGATTACAAACTTTTCTTTCATTTGTGAAAAATAGTGCAGATAAAAACTACCATAAGCTGAAAATAATATTGTCAGTTGAGACTTCCAAGAATTTTTAAAACATGAAATATTTTTAGCTCTTTACTGAATGCTTCCTATATGCCAGACACTGTTCTAGGTGCTGAGGATGACACAGTGAAAAAAATCAAGTTCCTAGTTGGGCACAGGGGCTCATGCCTATAATTCCCAGCACTTTGCAAGGCTGAGACAGGGGGACTGATTGAGCCCAGGAGTTCAAAGACCAGCCTGGGCAACACAGACTTTGTCTCTACAAAAAAATTTTTAAAAAATTAGGCAGGCATGGTGGTGCAGGCTGGTAGTCCCAGGTACTCGGAAGACCAAGGCTACGGTGAGCCTTGATTGTACCACTGCCCTTCAGCCTAGGCAATAAGTGAGACTCCAACTCAAAAAAAAAAAAAGAAAAGAGAAACAAGTTCCTGCCTTTATAAACTTTACAGTGTAATGTGGAAAATACACACAGCAAACAAGATCATTTCTCTTAATGATGAACTACTCTTTAGAAAACTGAACAGGACAATGTGATGAAAGTTTAATAGACTGAGTTTGGGGGTAATACCTAAGATTTTAAGGTTCTGAAAGAACAGGCTCGGTGGCTCAGACTGTAATCCCAGCACTTTGGGAGCCCGCGGGTTCAAGACCATCCCAGGTAACTTGGCCAGACCTCGTCTCCACAATAAAAAAAATTAGCTGGGTGTGGTAGTACGGACCTGTAGTTCCAGCTACTTGGAAGGCTGAGGCGGAAGGATTGCTAGAGCCCAGCAGGTCGACGCTGGGGTAGCTGTGAACATGCCACTGCACTCCAGCCTGGGAGGCAGAGTGAGACTCCAACTCAAAAATAAAATAAAATAAAATTCAGGGCTCTGAAAAAGCCCCTCTAAGCGAGTGACATTTGAGTCAAGGCCTAAATAATGAGATGTACAAAAGGCTGGGAGAACTAGGATAAGCACAAAGATTCTGAGGAAGGTGAGCCTGATGTATCCCTGAATAAAGTATAGTCAGCTAGGTACAAGAAAAGGGCAATGTTAGATCAGTGGAGCCTTAAAGGTAAATTTGGATTTTATTCCTAATTTGTTAAGAAGCCAGTGAAGGTGGTTTAAAAGGGAAACAACGTGATCTGTGATTCTTCCTCTGAACTTTTTTGAATTAAGTATTGGAAGACAGGAGTAGAAGCAAGGAAACTAACTATTAATAAGCCAGGTGAGGGACTTGGATGGGGTTTTGGAATCAGAGTGGTGGCAATGCAGATGGAGTTAAGTGGATTAATTCAACATGTAGTTTGGAGTCAGAAACAATAGAACATGCTAACTGGATGTGAGAGATAGACAAGATTTCATTTCAGTTTGTGAAACCATCATCTTAGATGAAGAAAACTAGAGGAAAAACAGGTTTGGGCTCTTTTGAATATGTCAAGTTTGAGGTGCAAAGCTAGGTGGGAATGTTGACTTCCCTCCACTACAAGTTTGAGAGGGAAGAAGAGAAATCTCATCTCTGTTCTCCCAAAGCCTAATACCATACCTGATACACATTATGTATGCAATAAATGTTTTTGAATGGGAGGACAGCAATTCTGGATCTACATAATAACTAAAAACTGGCTTTGGCAACTTCTAGAATTTTGCTAATGCTTAGGTCAATGATTTCCAAGTAATGGTAATATTTAGTTATATTGGACTTTAGCTGTGAAAAATTATTCGTGCAGAGTTGAGACTCAAGTGAAAGTCATGGTTTTCTTCTGAGAGTAATTTTATGTTGAAAGTAAGCTCAAAGACGTACACACGGTTTAACAGAAGGGCTAAGATTCCAGGCACTTTTGTAACCACAAAGGCTTGAGACTAACAAAGAATGGTTTGCACATGGGCAGCTGGGGCATTAAGCGCCTCAAATCCAATAGATGAAAGCCAACAAATCGAAGCAACTCTCTCTAAACAGCAAACAAAAAGAGGTCCGAGAGGGGAAAGGGAAACCCATTTTTACTTTTACTCACTGAACATCTTTTAAAGACTTGACACCACAGTATAACTAAGTCCTTTTTTTTTTGAGTTAGTCTCATTCTGTCACCCAGGCTGGAATGCAGTGGCACGATCACAGCAACTCACCGCAGCCTAGACTTCCTGGGCTCAGGTGATCCTGACTGCTCAGCCTTCCAAGTAGCCGCAACTACAGGCGCCTACCACCATTCCCAGCGAATTTTTTTAGTTTTCGTAGACAGAGTCTTACTATGTTGCCCAGGTTGGTCTCGAACTCTCGGGATCAAGCAAACCTACCGCCTCGGCCTCCGAAAGTGCTGGGATACAGGCATGAGCCACAGCGCCTGCCCCCCCCCCCCCCCCCCCCCCCT